CGGATTCTCCTCTTTATCCCACAACGTCAACGCGGGTGTTCCCCAGGGATCGGTCTTGGCTACAACACTGTTTCTCTTACATATCAACGACCTCTTTCCTGCACGATCAACCCAATCCACAGCTTCGCTGATGACAGCACTCTACATGCAGGAATTCAGAAGTGACAAGCCGATGTCTGCCGCTGAGCTGGAAAAAAAGAAGACTAGCGACGACTTCTTCTCTGACAAGAGACCTGGAGCTATCACTGCTTGGGGACGCAACAATCTTGTACAGTTCAATGCTTCCAAAACACAGTACTGTACTTTGACGAACAAAAGCGTCCTAGCGCTCATACAGTTTCGATGGACGGTCGAGTTCTACCAGAGAGCCATTCATTTCGGCTGGTCGGAGTCCAGATCACCGAGGACCTGATCTGGCACGAACACATCTCTTCAATATCTGCAGCTGCTGGGAAAACGCTAGGCTATTTGTTTAGGGCTAAGAAGTACTTTTCTCCGCATGACCTTCTCACTCTATACAAGGCCCAGATAAGGCCTAGCCTCGAGTATTGCTCACACATTTGGGGTGCTGCCGCCCCGACTACATTGTCCATGCTCGATGCTGTCCAGAGGAGGGCGGTCCGACTGATCGATGACTCTTCTCTAACAGACAGTCTCGGGGACTCTTTCGCACCGGCGGGCCGTCGGCGATCTAGCTCTTTCTATCGCTACACCAACGGGCTTTGCTCCTCATAGCTCTCTTCCATGATGCCGCCGCGCGATGTGCCTGCCAGACACACCCGCCTGACTTCGGCGTCCCATCCTAACCGTGTCAAACTTCGTACATCCAGAACTGGCCGATACGACCGCTCCTTTGTTCCGAGGGTGTCTAGATTGTGGAACAATCTACGGAGGAAGCTTTTCCAGTTCTACTAACCTTAGGCAGTTCAAAAATCGTATTAACAAAATTTCTTTGGGATCATCATAGCAGCCGCGGTGTTCCGGCATTTAGGCTCTGCCTGCGCGGCTGTTTCGATATAAAAAAAAAAAAGTTTTTTTTTGTAATCCATCGTGATACTTCGATAGCGGGGAACTTCGAGGCACGTTTGCGGTAAGTTCTCTTTATACTGTAAAATCGCTCACTCCTTTTTTGATGTAGGTAGTGTCTTCTCAAGTATCTTTTTCTCCAAATTATCACTTGCTGACTGCCTAGTTTGTTCCGTGTGGGAATTTAAGGTAGCGGTAAGTGAAGATATATCAGCTTTAAGGAATCACACGTACTACAAGTATCTTTTCGTGGATAATCGAACGATATATTGAAGTTGTTTTCAAAAGATTTCTCGGAGGATTCATAGGAAATCTTGTTTTCAACATTGCCAATAGAAATATTTTACGTAATTTTGCGATATTTAGATTTTCAGGTAGGTAAACTTTTGCCAAAGAATAATGAGATTTGCGGCATTTGAGGTTCTTAATAAACTCGGTCACTATCTGTTTGTGTTTTCTGAAAGTTTGTGAAGTCGTGTGTGTTGTGTTTTTCAACGCATGTCGATGGGCGATTTCCCAGTTGCAACTAATGAGTCTCTTATGTACCGAACTCGACGAACTGTAATTCCGTGTAAAGACAAAAAAACCCTTAAGACAAACTGGAACATCACGAATAATTCCATTTTCAACCAATCTGACACGATAACTAAATGAAGCATTATTAATCCTTGACTCTGCTTCATTTTTTTGAGGGCGTCTACGCATGACAGGAAAGAACAGTGATAAGACCACTAAGATGAGCGTTTCTGCATTAGTGTTTCCTAGTTCATTAAATTCACGAAGCAGTCTACAGCGTCAGGTTCAGGAACAGTAGTAAAACAGCGAAAACGTTCACAAAAACAATCAGATCCAAGTTCGTAGGTAGTGGCGCGCAACGTTTTCATTACGTCCTCTTTGACTTTCTGTTTTTTTTGCGTTTTTTTTGTTTCTCTTTTTTATGGGCCTGGTTCATTTTATTTGAAACTTACACAAAACCGTATTATAAACTAAATTAGCGAATATATTCAATATTCAAAATATCACGTATACAACACACGTGGACTCTAATAGTAAACTAATGGCTGCTGCAATAACGAAGCGCCAAGCGGTACGGCCGATGCAACGCCGCCTTTCCATATGGACTGATGCCGTTTTTTCCATACACGCGCAGGGACTCATGCCATTCTTCCCCGACAGTATCTTATAGCTGTTGTTTTGTGAACCTGAGCCCTTTTTACAATCTAAGAAACTGATTACAAGATAGCATCATGCCAGCAAAATAAACTGAAAGCTCATTTAGCCAAATAATGGACTAATTCCGTTTTTTCCCCGGTGCCCTTCATTTGAGTATAGGGTCCCATATCCGGAAAAGTATCACTGCGGCACTTCGGCCCTAAGACGCGTTAAAATTTAGAAAGACGATGAATTGCCTAAATAGGATTTAATTGCATTTAATGTTTACCTTTGTATATGATATCACAACAATTGTTCAAAATTTCTTCCTCCAACCTGAATATCCTATTTAGGCAATTCATTGTCTTTCTAAATTCTTTCTTTTCCGAATATGGGTCTCTATACTCAAATGTTTTCTACTGTTACACTGAATAACCTCTACAAGTTTGATCCCATAGTTCTGAAACACCCTGTATATCAGAAAAATGTATAATGTATATGAACGAGAGTTCATATTTAATGTTATCTAGAATTATTAGTGACACTTCCTAATCTGATCGTCTTGTGCATTAATCTGCTATCTAAATTTGCCATTTTCCATGAAAATATGTATAGCTCGAGCACCTACTTGACGATAAGACTTCGACATATAAATGTGAAGTAGATTCTCGTAGAAACCATCCTAGAAATGTCTTTCAAAATGAGGGCAATATGGTTCTGTGTAGTGGTGACTTTTACTTTTGTGGAGTCATCTTCGCAGGTAGGAATTATCAATTTTTGAAAAACATGTGGCATTAAACATTTTTCCAATAGGGGATTTTGGGATTTACTCGAGTGAGGCAGATTAAGATAAGGAGGCAGACCTTGCATCTTGTTAAGAATCTCCACCATGTATAAGCCCTTTATACATGGGAGTATGTCTACGGCAGCCGACAGAAAAAAATCGATGGTTAGATATATACCCGTGCGCATCGGACTAAGATAAGGAGAGTAAATTACATGCCTAAAGGCAATAATCTAACGATTGAGTGTGAGGGTTACAAAATTGCAAAAAAACTTCATAACGAATGAGAATAACGACATGCGGCTTTCACTAGTTTGTAGGATTTTTCATATACTTTCTGAACAATGAAAATCAATAGTAACATTGCATTTGAAGTTTTCGAAAAACGACATTTCTAGGTTTCCTTTTGCAGCGATACAGCCGGCGTCCTTCATAAATGGCCCACCGGGTACAAACCGGCAGATTATCATACCTCCAACATCAGTGATACGTAGGGCGTATACAATATCTGATGCGCTCGAGTATTTTCATGCAGTTATTTTGTTTACATTTTTGACAACCTGAAGACGCTAAAAGAAATTATATAACCTTTTTATCATGCTGCGATCTAATTTACAAAATAAATAAATAAAAACGCCTTTATTTTAAACTCGGCGAAGGCCAGCTATGCTGTTAACTTAACCGAGCATGTAAAAAGTAACAACAAGCCAAAAAGAAAAGTAATATGACAAGAAACAAGTTTTACATTACATTAATTTTAGAATATTACATAACAACAATGAACAATAATAACTACAGATGTACGTATACAAAGAAAATAAGCAATAATAAATAACTTATACTTCACAGAAGCAGTTGTTTCAGTTTTCGTTTGAACATATTAGGAGACATATCTTCAAATTGACCTATATTGTATTGGTTTAGAAGTTTGACTGATGTATAGGAAAATGAGGTTTGAGTCATGGTTTTAGTTATTTTAGGTATTTCATAAAGTACATTAAAGCGTGTTGCACGAGAGTGAATCAGATTTCTATGAGTTAATTTTTCAATCAAATATGGAGGGCTTTTAGTTTTAATCAATTTATGAAGAAAGCAAGCAAAATGCAGCTTTTCTCGATTGGAAACATCCAACCATGTCAGTTCGGAAAGTTTATGACTGACATGATCGTGACGTCTAAGCTGGTAAATAAGTCGTATGCAAGGATTCTGCACTTTTTGGAGTTTATCCTTAGTAAATACATCTAAGCAAGGACCATACACAAGTTGCAATAGTTAAGGTGACACAATACCAGTGCTTCGAAAAGAACCTTTTTTAACTTAAAAATAAGAATATCTTTACTTTTGTAAATATTGCGAAGATTAAAATAGGCTTTTTGTAGAAGCCTAGACACATGACTTCGGAATCTAAGCTTGTTATCAAAGATAACGCCCAAATTTTTATATTCCTCAACAACCGGTATTGCCACACCATCCATTGCTATCACCAAGTTTACAGATGCCCAATCTTTAGCTGGCCCAAAGTAGATTATGGCTGATTTATTAGGATTCAATTTCAAGCCATGATTAAAAGAGTATTTAAAAACTGAATCCAAACACTCGTTTATCCTCCTAGCCGCTTCGATTGCGTCCGACTTAACAAAAGAAAGCTGAATCTGTGTATCGTCAGCGTATCTATGGTTGTTTATATCACCAAAGCACTCCGACATATCAGCAGTAAAAATGATAAAAAATAAAGGACCCAAAAGTGATCCCTGAGGAACTTCTCTATCCACGTTCAAGGGTTTTGATTTAAGCCCATCAATTGAGACCGACTGCGATCTGTCATCCAAATAACTACGAATAAGTTGAATAGTCTTAAGTTTAAATCCATAGTAGAAAAGTTTTGCACACAGCAATGCATGGTTCAGGGTATCGAAGTCCAACAACACCAATCCCGAAGTTTCACCCCTGTCCGCAGCCAAAAGAATGTCATCTAGAACCTTCAACAGTGCCGCGGTCGTACCAAACCCTTTACGGAATCCAGACTGCAACTTGGGTAATAAATTATTATCTGTGAAATAAGTAATGATTTGCCTATAAATAAGCTTTTCAAATACTGTTGACAGCACTGGTAGTATACTAATTGGTCGCAAATCAGAGACATCCTTAGGGCTGCTAATTTTAGGCAGCGGCAAGACCACAGCCGTTCTCCATTGCGCAGGAAAAATGCCCTTTTGTATGCAGGAATATAATAGGTTAACAAGCACGGGTAGATCGTTGGACAACATAACCTCACCATGTCAAGGCTAATTCCGTCTGCACCACAGGCGTTTGACCCAATCTCCGATATGCCCAGAAAACGTCATCTTCACTAACGAGTTTCAATTCAAATTCTGCGGTTGTACATTTGGAATTAAGATATTTAGAAATAGTATTCGTATCGACAGTGCTAGGTATTTGTCGCACCGAGTCGATAAAATATTGATTAATTAAATTTGGGTTTTTAAGATGGTTAGGAATTTCTATATTTTTTAGATCTGTTATAGACATTAAGTTGGTCTAGGGTTTTCCACATGTCTCTGGATTTTTTTGTACGACTGACAAAATCAATATAAGCTCTCTTTTCTTGTCGAACAGCTGACGTAAAAAAATTCCTCATTTCTTTGTAGGATGCCCAATCCCGTAAATTTTTAGTACGTTTGTATTTAGAGAAAAGATAGTTACGGTGATTCTTCATCGCACGCAACGCATCAGTAAACCACGGGGAAGGTGGCCTGGTAACTTTTTTCTCACATATTGGCGCATGAGAATCAAGAAGAGTCAATATCATATCTGAGAGAATTGCAGTCTTCTGGTTAACATTATCACTGTTGACAACCTGCCACCAAGGGAATTTTATAAAATCTTGTTTGAAGCTATAAATGTCAAAGTGTTTAAAGTTACGATATTTAATAACTCTAAGCCTAACGGCAGAGATCTTAATATTTATTGAACAGTGTATTAGCTGATGATCGGAATGCTGATGCAAGTCCTGATGATGGACACTGCCACTTAAGAGATGATCATCGGACAGGATGATGACATCAATAACACGAAAAGTTCGTATATACATGGGTCTTAAGTGCCTTCTTACTAAAGTAATAATTTCGAAATCGAATAAATATATATATCCGGAATAGATAAAGATACTGAGTTGAAATTTGGCGAACGTATGTAGTAACAATAGCATAATTATTACATCTTATGACTCAAATAGGAGGAAACATGTTTTATGCTACTGAATTTCTGAGCAGTGTACGTATATTCAATTTTACATAATCTGACTCTTGTCAGACCATATCTTTAGGAGAATATTCGGTTTCAATATTTTATTGAAATCCATGTCAATAAATTACGTGAAGAAGGGTGACTCTGCAACACCGCCATCAGGACTATGTACTGCACAAGTTAGACCCTCCGAGAAAGAGTTAGTTATAAATATGTATAAAAAATGAATTAAAAGTCAGTCAAACAGGTCCACACAATGTTTCCATAGACATTATTTTCCTGCCCTACCAGTGGAACCGTCCATCTTGCAACGTGGCAATTCCCCCATACCTGATAACATGTTGCGTCAGACGCGGCAGTAATGATATACCACTTACCGAGACCCGTACGCCTGCTCAGCCCAAAGGGCGGATAAGTCTAGTATCGAAAAAACTTCTTATCACTCTATGTTTTAAGGTCAAATGTACGGAAAAACCTGATGTGTGAAATATATACAGGGTGTTCCTTAATGATATGCGAATATTTAAGGGTGTGAATCTACATAAAAATTAATGTTCATTAACTATGATCCAAAAATGTTTCCTTACAAAACTCGGGGTGTTGAAGTTTTAGGAAAAAAATGGAAATTAATTAATATTTTCAGAACCGCTTCAGATATTTCACTGATATTTAGAACGCCGTGAAAGAAAGTTGCATATTTTTCAATGCAAAAATAATTTTCAGCTTCAACAGTGGCGTGAGTACGGGTATTGACTTCAATATTTTTTAAGGAAAAAATCGTACGGAAATGGACGGAAATGAGTGACACAATACTTCCTCACCAGTAAGTGTGGGAAGTGAAAACTTAAATTTGTTTTACTTTAAAAGATTTACTGATATCAGCGATGTTGAATCAGGTATAAGCTTCTGTAATCTTAATCTTAATGTCTACTTGATTTTTTCAGATAGGCAGCCTTCGTGGGTATTTTTCAACCAAACCTGAAGTGAGGATCATTAATGGTGAGGTCTGTAAACCTCACTGCATGCCTTACATCGTTGGAATCAACTTAGAAATGCCGTATGGGAACGACTTCTGCTCTGGATCTTTAATTTCACCGAATTACGTCTTAACTGCAGCACACTGCCTGGATACGTGAGTACTATGAAATATTTTAGTTCATTTGTCTTTACTTCCTACGTCACTGGGCGAGAAAATTGCGGGTTGTAGTAGTGGAATGGGGGAGGATGTATGGCAATTTTATCATCAGTACATCTACCGTTAAAGCAGAAAAATATTCTCAGCAAATAGTTCGCCTATCAGTCGCATATGATGTGCGCCACAAGGTTGTTTATAAATATTGCATCTTTGGCACTTGATCCGAACAGTGAAGCAGCACGGCAACATACGAGGTGGGCGTGATATTATTTATGAATATGAACGTTATGCTTGTAGTTTTATTATATAGTATATAAGTATTTATCAAAATTGATTATAATCAGTTATCAGACATTGTTGACACGGAGTTTTACAATAAAGCTCCAAAGAAATGAGGCTACCGTGTACGGATATGCTTATTGCTGCAATCTAAGGAATCTTTTTTCATGAAAAATTCTTCTAGAAGTTGTTTCTAATGAGTGGAAAATATAGAGTCGATCTATATTTTTTTTCTTGATTTCAGAGCATTAAAGGCAGAAGTGATATTTGGTGCGCACAATATCACTGCAAATGAACCAACGCAAGTACATCAAATGGTCGCAACTGATAACTTTATCATACACCCAGGGTGGGGTAATGATGGGCAGCTTACCCATGACTTGGCATTGATCAAACTACATCAGCCTGTCGCTGAAAATGAATACATAAAAATCGTCGAGCTAGCTTCAGGAACTGATAGATATGTGAGCAGTATAGGTAAGGGAGTGTGCGAGCCATCCAGGAAATCATTACCTAAAAACGAGGGAGTAAAATCACTCAAAGAAAGTGGATGTAGTTCTCGTACCTTTCGGAAACTGTATTCAACAGGAAATATTCTGTTCTATATTTATGAACGCTAAATAATTATTCTCATGAGAAAAAGTGCGAAAGACTCTCTGTCGACCATCAGCCTCATCTCTAAAGACGAAGTTGACTTTGTGATGGAACGATGATATGAAGAAGCCAGGAACATATTATTTTGCTGAAAATGGATACATTCACAAACTTTTTTAACAGAAAACAGACGCTCGCCCACTTCCTCTCAGTGACTTTACTCCTTCGTTTTCAAGAATAGGGATAGATTTTTAGAAACTAGAGAGTAGAATAACAACCGGGCTATCCATTAGGAGATAATAGGGAATATGAATATTAATATACTCCAACATACCAAATTAGTAAACAAATACCTCACTGTAATGCAGAGCAATGGATTCATATCAAATATAAATTTACCAACAAGAGTAGTCAATAATAGTTCCAGTTCTTGCATTGATCATTGTTTCATCAAAAAATTTTCAAATTTCTTTCGGTACATACCGTTAATTGTTGAAAACCATATTACCGATCATTTACCCACTGTAATACTTATATCATCACCAGAAAAAAATAAAAGTAGATCCATCTCCAATAATGAAACAGTGAAATTTAGGTGTTTTGTCGATAATAAAAAACTACTTGCAAATATCAAATTAGAATCGTGGACAGCAGTGTACTGTGCAACGATTGTTAATGATGCTGCAAACACACTCATTGAACGCATAAAATATTTAATTGAATGTAGTACAAACAGAGTTAAAATTAAACATTTTGACAGAAGCAGGAATCCCTGGATAACTAAAGGTTTGATAAAGTCTGCCAACAAAAAAGAGGAACTATACAAAATAATGAAAGCATCGCCATGTGCAGATACCTCCCATAAATATAAAGAATATAAAAATATTTATATCAATCTAGTTAGAGAAGCAAAACGCCAATTCTATCTAAAAAAATTACAAGATGCCAAATCTGATCCGAGAAAACTGTGGTCAGTTGTCGATCACTTAACTAACAAAGACGTTCCAGAAAAGCCAAATATTGATGAAATTAAGAATCGTGATGGAACAATATTAACAGATAAACGACAAATATCCGATGCATTCTTAAATTTTTTCACTAATGTTGGAGAAAATTTAGCATCCAGTATTAAAAAAATGGTTTCGAACGAAAAGTTCACAAAAACCCAACTTTCTAATTCATTCTTTTTAGAAAGCGTTAGTCCGATTGAAGTACAAGAAGCTGTCCTATCACTTAAAACCAAAAAAAGTCCTGGTGTACATGGTATCAAAGCTGACCATTTAAAAATAATAGCCTACGACTTAGCCGAACCACTTTCTTACGTCATTAATTGGTGTTTCCAATCTGGAATTTGTCCTGATGCATTTAAAACAACTGTTATTACTCCTGTTTATAAAAGCGGTGTCAGTATGGAAACATCAAATTATAGACCCATATCAGTACTATCGAATATAGCCAAAATTTTCGAAAAATTACTACAAAAAAGGATATATTACAATTTTTGGACAAAAACAAAATTATATGTTCTGACCAATATGGATTTAGAAAAGGAAAATCTACTACAGATGCAATTTTGGCTGCAATGGATGAAATTAACTCTAATGTCAACAAAAAGATACCTACTATTGGTATCTTTGTTGATCTAAAAAATGCCTTTGATACGGTTAACCATGTCGAGCTTCTGAAAGTTATGGAAAGATTGGGATTTAGGGGAGCGTCACAAATCCTTTTAAAAAATTACCTTTCAAGTCGGGCACAGACTGTCAAAATCACTAACACTTACAGTAAAAAAATGTACATCAAGTGTGGTGTGCCTCAAGGAACAGTACTAGGCCCACTATTATTTAGTCTCTACTTAAATGACTTATTCAAAATTAACAGTTCTGATGACTGGAGCATACTGAAGCAAATAGCTGAAAAGGATTTTATAAGGATCATTGACTGGTTTGATACTAAAATTTTAACAGTTAACTTCAAAAAAACAAAATTTATTGCATTTACATTTATTCAAAATTTTTACCTACCTTCGAACAAATTTCCGTTAATTATCATGGCCAAAAGACCAAAATCGATAGAGTTAACACTTTGAAATATCTTGGAATATTTATAGACTCACATCTAAGGTGGGATAACCATATTAAATATGTTATCAAAAAATTTAGAAATGTTGCCTATAAACTCAAAATGCTTGATCACATTCTTACAGAAAGTTATCTGCGAATCCTATACCACGCCTTAGTTGAAACCCATATAAAATACGGCATCACAGCCTGGGGTGCCGCCTGCAAGACATATATTTCTGACCTGAATATAGCACAAAAAACTGTTTTGAAAGCCATTTTCCATAAGCCAAGATTATATCCAACGAACAACTTATATCAAGAAACAGGGATACTTGATACAAGACAACTTTATTTCTTACATGCCACCACCTTATACCATAAGTATTGTAATAAAAAAAACAGGCGATGCCTTCTGTGGTTTTTTCATATTTATTTGCCCATTTTTTGTATTTTGGCGAATAAATATTATTATTATTATTATTATTATATATAAGGCAAAAAGCCGACAACAAATGGGTACAACGTGATGTGAACCGCGATGAATACGCGACTAGGATCCACACTCATGGGTCGCGGCTTCGCGCTTGATCCGCACGTGAGTCTGGATACCCTCTCCAGACGCACGCGCGGATCACGGCGTGAAATCGCCATGCGGATCGCGGTGCGAATCCCGAAATTTCTGCCTACAGTTCCACACTCGCAATATAGTTCGCGCTCTTGACGAGTATGGACGGTGAAATTGCTACTGCAGCAGCAGGGCTACTTTGCGCTTTGGCAATTTATAATTACGCATATATAAGGCAACTGAAACACCAGCGAATGAGGAGCCTAGTCATGTTCGCGCCTTGCGAACCCTTTGTCGCGGGACAAAAAACCGACAACAAACGGGAACAACGCGACGTGGAGCCTCGAAGAATACGCGAATAGGATCCACACTCATGGGTCGCGGGTAGTTCGCGGCTTCG